ACAAAAAGATACATATTTGATATATTTCAAATATATCAAATGTTCAGAAGGGTTGGAAACACAAAAGCAGTTGAAAGCATTCTTTTGCGGAGGAAATTTGCATGTGCTAAAAAACAAAAACAAAATGCATTCATGTAGCCAAGCTTTCTCTGAGGCCACCCCTTGCTCCATCTAAAAAAGAGTAACTGAGAGTCTGACACCTTTAAAGGTCGGAAAGAAATATTCACCCTCCGTTTTCTCTGAAGGCTTCTCCCTGCATGGTTTCATTGATGTTACAAGACCACATTTGCCAGCCAGGTTTTCCCTCCACCCCCTCCTGTAACCTGCCTTGCCAGTGTAACCTGATTTGCCACCACAACCTGTCTAGAGCCGTTCTCTGAGACCTCATATATTCTGTAACCACAAGATGGTAAATAAGATTCTTTTAAAAATATCATTATTTATTTATTTATTTTTCTATTGTGGGGTACAGTTAAAGGTTAGGTATACAAATATACAAATATGGTATACAAATACAAAAAAAGGTTAGGTATACAAATATACCACAAGATGGTAAATAAGATTCTTTTAAAAATATTATTTATTTATTTATTTATTTTTCTATTGTGGGGTACAGTTAAAGGTTAGGGATACAAATATGCTCCGTTCAGGCACCCTTGTTGATAAGAGGTGTCTCCGCGTCCCCAGACAGATATTTACCACCGTTAATCCCATCTCCCTTCCCCTCCCACCCCTATAGTTTCCCACCACTGTCAGTCATTTTCTTATAGTATTACGTTGTATGTTCAAGGTCCACTATATGAGTGAGAACATGTGATACTTAGATCTTTGTTTCTGTGAGAGATCACTCAGTATTATAGACTCTAGTTCCATCCAGGTTGCTGCGAAACTCATGATTTTGTTCTTTTTTATGGCTGTGTAGTATTCCATCGTGTATATGTACCACATTTTTTTTAATCCAGTCCTCTTTTGATGGACAGCATGGTTGCTTCCAGGTTCTTGCTATTGTGAACAATGCTGCAATAAACTTACGTGTGCAGGTATCTTTTTGATAGAGTGATTTGAGTTCTTCAGGGTATATTCCCAGTAGGGGGATTGCGGGGTCATATGGGAGGTCAATATTTAGAGCTTTTAGGAATCGCCATACTGTTTTTCACAGAGGTTGCACTAGTTTGCACTCCCACCAACAGTGTAGAAGTGTTCCCTTTTCGTCACACCCTCTCCAGCAACTGTTATTTTTTGAGTTATTGATAATTGCCATTCTGACTGGAGTTAGGTGGTATCTCAGTGTGGTTTTGATTTGCATCTCCCTGATAATTATTGAGGTTGAAATTTACACTGCAAGTAAATAAGATTCTTAATCCCATTTGGGTGTAAGTATACTCTGTGGTCCTCTGTATACATCAGAGCCAAGGGAAACAGGGCCCCTTTTCTCTCTGAAGAGTCACTGAAAAATCAACTCACAAAAGGCAGATTAATAAGAGAAAAGGCATACAAGTTTATTTAAAGTGTGCACACACAAAAGAGTTTAGAATGAAGACCTCAAGACATAAATGGAATTGTCAATTCTATGCTTAGTTTCAACCACTATAGACAGTCACGTAGAAATATGATTGGATAAAAAGGCTATTATTATCTAATGCTGATAGACTGAGTGAAAAAACACAGCAAGGCCTATCTGTATAGATTCTATTTTAGTTTACTTTTTTGGAGTCTGGGTCTGTCTCTAATGTCTAGACTGGAGTGTAATGGTATGATCATGGCTCACTGCAGCCTTGACCTCCTTAGGTGATATGTCTGCCACAGCCTCCTGAATAGCTGGGACTTCAGGCCCATGCCACTACGCCAGAGAATTTTTTGATGTCTTATAGAGACAAGATCTTGCTATGTTACCTAGAGTGGTTTCAAACTCCTGAACTCAAATGATCCTAACTGCCTCAGCTTCCCAAAGTGCTGGGATAACAGGCATGAACCTCTGCACCTGGCCTGTCCAGATTCTTCTTGGTCTCTCAAAGTGGCATTCCTTCCTTCTGAATGTGAGGCAGGACCCTCTCTAGAATTATAGTCAAACAAAATAGGTAAGTTATGTTTTTTTATGACCAGATTTCACACAGAAAGGCAAAGGGAAGTTTAGAGTAATATTTTTGATTGATGGCTAGCTTTGGAGAAAAAGGGTTTTGGTTTCTATGGCCCACCTTGGGGAAGTTGGACTCTAGCTTCTTTGGCTTGCACTGGGGGAGAATGGGACTGTGAGACAGGAGGGAGGGAGGTCAGAGAAAAACTTCTGCTTCGAAGGCCTTCACTTTGGGGTAGTGTCTTCTGAGTCCCAACACGAACACAATTACATACTTTTTTTCTTATTGATCTGCCTTTCATGAGTTGCTATTTACTGAACATTTAGAGAGCAAAGAAAACATTTTCCATAGGTCCCAGCAGCTGCCATTTGACCGGAGGGAGATATTTTCTTTTTCTTCTATGACTGGACAATAAAAAATGCCTTGCATTTCCTTGGAGAGAGCTATCATCTCCATATGCCAACACTGTTCACTCTACAAATTTCTGGAGAAAAACTAGTGTGGAATGAAGGGTAGTTAGTGCCTCTGCTCATTCAATGCACAGAAAGCATGAGACCATGCAGAAGTATCATCCCTACAGGCACTAACCAATTTCTAACAACTGCACATTTCTTTTTTTTTTTTTCTGAGTTGGAGTTGCACTCTGTTGCCCAGGCTAGAGGGCCGTGACATACTCACGGCCACTCCAGCGTCGACCTGCTGGACTCCGACGATCTTTCTGCCTCAGCCTTCCAAGTAGCCAGAACTACAGGCGTGCACTACCATGCCTAGCTGATTTTTGATTTATTGTAGAGATGAGGTCTTGCCAAGTGGCCCTGGCAGGTCTCAAACCCACGGACTCAGCCGATCCATCCCAAAGTACTGGGATGACAGGCTGAGCCACCAAGCCCGGTCACAGCACATTTCTTATACCACTTATTTCATTCAAAGCCTATGTCCTCCACTAGACTATAAAGTCAAGGAATTTTTGGTTTTTGTTTCATTTTATTTTTGCTTGTTTAATTTATTGATAAGCAATGTCTGGAACACAATGGATATTCAATAAATTGTACTGGATGAATAAATAAGTGGATGGCATATTACGCAAGATGTAATAAAACGCCAAGACATGGGTAGATGATTAAGAAACAAATTAATAAGAGGCACGGCTTTACAAGTGAAATATAATTCTGGAACTGTTGAACAATATTTTATAGCTTGGACCAATATACTTGTGTTACATTTTAAAAAGTGTATCCAATCTGCACAGTGAAAATGATTTCAAGTTTGAAAAACCATACACATTGGCATCAGAAAACCAGGAAGGAAAAGGGACCAGGTGTCATGCATTATTAAGTTTCTGTTCTTGATCCTTTCTTTTTTTTTTTTTAAATGTTCCTGTAATTTGTATGTGTTAGGAGCCAGCCACGGAGGCCCACTGAGCGTTAGAGATCAGGGAGGGCCGTGGACCCCGAGACCACTAGGATGCATTCAGGGGCTGTTGACCCCATTGCGTTCTCCCTTTTCTGTTTAGTACACTTAACCAAAAGGAACTCTGCTGACCTAAGCTGAAGTCTCTGTGACTGTGACAGGCGTGGTTAACTCTAGAAACTCATTGTTCCTGTTTCCCATGAGCTGCGGTTTTGGCTTGGGTATTAGATATAATTCAAACTCAGGTCACATTTGGGAGCCTTCAATACGGTACAAGCTTCTTTACAAGATTTAAAAGCATATTTGTAGAATTAGTATATACATATGGAGAGCTATTTTCAGCTTTAGATGGTATAGAAGGTTATCTAGAGTTACCAGAAATGGCCCAGCACGAACTTTGGACTGGGCCACATTCCTAAAGGCCCAGCGTGTACTTTGGACTGGGCTGCATTCTTTTAAACCGGTTTTAGCTACAATTAGTGTAGGATTTTTCTACTTATTATAGAAACTGAATTTATTTTACTCATAGAAAGTATTGTAGAATAGGTCATGCTAACGTAAGGGAATTATGTTAGTTCAAGCATGATCAAACATGATATTTTGAGGTTTAATAAGAATACAGCTAACTTTAGAAATTTCATTGTTCCCATTTTTTACTAATTGCAGTTTTAGCCTTAGTACAATTTACAGTTTATATTTGGGTTTTATTTTAGAAGATTTATTGCTGATGATCAGCTTTATATATTAGGATTAGGAATTAGAAACTTTTATAGAAGTTAAAAAGATATATAAGATTTTAGAGTAGCCATTTTGCTAAGAGATTATGATCGATTGTTTCCAGAAACGGCCCAGCATGATCTTTAGACTGGGCCACATTCTTTAGGAACTAGTTTGAACTATAATTAAGAGTTTCCATAGTGTAGGTAGAATTAGCATAGAATAGAAAAGATAATAGAATTTAAGTTAGTCGTTTTAGGTGTTGTGTACGCATAAGTTTTAGAAGTTACTGATTATTAGAACATCAGGTTGCTAGTGGAGATTGTTGCATTATTTTTGAGGAACATTAACCAAACATTAGGAAGAGTAAGATAATTTTGGGATTGTTCTTCCTCATGCTTGAGGAAACAACTGGAAGGTAGAGGGGGGCGCCCCTCAACCGCGTGGCTTTGTTTTCATGTGAAAGTCTTGTGATTTAAACCGTGAAAAATTAGGATAAAAGGCTTACGGTTTGTCCCATTAAATGGCTTCTGCACTAGACAGAGTCCAGTCTCTTTCTTTCTTTCTTTTAATATCTATCCCTCCTACAAAATTGCTGATACTGTCACACCTTACAGGGACTCCCAATCTCTGCAGGGGCTGGCCCACCACATGTATGTATTATTTTAATAATCAGGAAAAAAATATTTTTATTTTAAAGTTTTTATTATTTCGTAACATGAAAAAGAAAGGCAAACACCTGAAACTATAGACACTACTTTCTAGTCCCTTCCACCCAATAAAATCCTCTCCAGTTGTTCAAATGAAGGAAATTCCGGTAGTGATGTGTAGCAACTCACAGTCAATATTCTTCAAAAAAAATGGATAATTAGGGTGATCAGTAACACTGAAAGAGAAAAGGCAATGATTAGTTAACTTTTTCCCCACTCTGTCCAAGAAAGTTTCTCTGAAGATGCAGTTAAATGGGCTAAAAGCTCTGAATTTGCAACCACGTTTCTACTTTTACCCCAGCACATATGCTCTAATCTATAGGGCAGGTAAGATGTATTTTTTTTTTTGAGTTGGGAGTCTCACTCTGCTGCCCAGACTGGAGTGCAGTGGCTGCTCCCGGCCACCACAATCTCCACCTGCTGGGCGCCGGCAATTCTTCCTCCTCAGCCTTCCAAGTAGCCAGAACTACAGGTGCGCGCCACTACGCACGGCTAATTTTTTGATTTATTGTAGAGATGAGGTCTCGCCCAGTTGCCCAGGCGGGTCTCGAACCCGCAGGCTCAGGCAATTCACTCACCTTGGCCTCCCAAAGCACGGGATTACAGGCTGAGCCATTGAGCCCGGCTAAGATATATTTTTAATAACCAGACCTATACAATGTGATTAAAGTTTCTTAGTGATAATGTATGAGAATACTTGCAATTTGGTAATTAGTATTTTTTTTTGTCCTATTTTTTCTCTTTTTTCACAATTTGCCCTTTTCAACTGAATGTCATTAAAGAACAGCTTAGCAGCTCCATGTGCCAGGAGCTGTGTTATGGGCACAGGACCACCAAGATGAGGAAGAAGAAGCATTCATGGTCCCACGAGGTAGATCACAGACTTACACTTAAAAGCCTTTGAGGACAGGAATGTTCCTCCCCACATTTTTCTCATTTAACGTTTTTCCTCAGGATCCTGTTATTGTTTCTCAAAAAGAAAAGGGCTTTTTTGATTTTTTTTTAGAAGACTAACTTTTTTTTTTTTTTTTTTGAGTTAGAGTCTCACTCTGTCGCCCAGACTGGAGTGCAGTGGCTGCTTCCGGCCACCGCAGCCTCGACTTATTGGGCTCCAGCGATCCTTCCACCTCAGCCTTCCAATGTAGCCGGAATTACAGGTGCGCGCTACCACGTCCGGCTAATTTTTTTTATTTTATTGTAGAGATGAGATCTTGCCTGCCCAGGTGGGTCTCGAACCCGCAGGCTTGGGCAATCCACTCACCTCAGCCTCCCAAAGGCACGGGATTACAGGCTGAGCCATCAAGCCCGGCTAGAAGACTAACTCTTTATTCTCATAACCAAACCTTCATCTCTCCCTATTTCTAATATCTTCTCTAAGCTTCTCTCTGTTTGATTTCTTTCTCCTCAACCTCAGATCCTGCAGCAGGTGAACCAATGAAATGTCACCTTTATAAATGAACCAAAGTGAAGGCATTTTGGGTTCTTACGAGGCAGATTTCTGATGGACAAAGGTGACACTTAAGTAATAGTCTTGACTTGAAGATCCAGATAAATTCTAGGGGACCTTATCTTGGTAAATGAAATGGACGACACATCTGTGAGGAACCTATGAGGGTTCATTAATTTTATAATTTATTTATGATTCAGCTTGGTGAGATTATATAGCTGAGGAAATGGGAGTTGTGATAGGTAAAGGAAGTCAAGAAGAGATAAATTTGGAAGACATCTGTGGCGTTCTGAAAAGGGAATTCCACACTAAGTAGAAATGTCCCTGCACATTTGCCTTCGTGGTTCCCACCACCTTAAAAATACCAAAATTGTGCCTCACGTTACCTTGGTGTAAACAGGAAGATGGTGCTAGGCAAGATTCATCGTTATGTATTTGTTATCATTGTATTTTTTAATTCTAATTTTAACATAAAGATAGGACATTATGATGAGACCCTCATAGTACCATGGTTCATAAGTAGCATGCTTTTTCATGTGACGGGTAAGTAGGCCCTGAGTGCAGGACCCGGGCACAGGTAGTAAGGGCATCAAACAGTTGGATTCACAATGGTGCAAACTTTAGCAGCTTGACTTATGGATGCTCTTTGGGGTCAGAGCCTGAGCCCTGGAGGAAACCTCTGGTCTGATGGCTACAGGGAAGTTCCTATTTCAGGGCTACACCTAAAACGAGACTTATCTTTCTGATTTAGGAATGCTTCAGCCCTCTGCTTGCCTGCATGTTACAGAAAACAACGCAGGAAACAATCTCAAAGAGCCACTTACAATTTTAAAGGAAGATATCGGAAATTCCTGTTGAGGCCTTCGATGGCTTTCATGTCTTCTGGAGCCAATTCAAAGTCAAAAACCTGAAAGGAATTAAAAACAAAAACCACAGTGACTTTCTCCAGAGCAGTATCTTCTACCTGGGAATGCAGGGACCTCCCAGGGGCAGAGGCAAGGTCAGCTTCGGGGAAGCATTTCCTCCTCATCGGCTTCCAGGTGCACGTGGCCTGAGACTTCTTCTGCCTGAGCTCTGTTGTTTGTACATTCCACCCCATTCCATCCACCCCACTCCTAGACTGCTCCGTTTCACAACAGAAAGACTTTCTTTCTTTTTTAAAAAAAATTTTTAATTTTAAAGATGTGGGGTACCATTCGGGGTTAGGTACACAAATGTTCATTATGCAGGTACCCTCAAGAAAGATTTTCAATTCATCAATCTAGAGATTTGCCAGAGACAGAAAAAGCAAATCATTTATTTCCACGCAAAAGGACCATCTGGATAAGAAACCCACTTCCTGGACTTGCCCACACTCCCGGACTTTTCTTTCCTCACATCTCTTGGACCTTCACCCAGCCTTGGACTGCACAAGTTTGAAGACAGGACAACTCCTCTCTAAGGTCTGTTGGCCTTGGGAAATGCACTTCCTGGTCAGCTGTTTCACCACATCACTTCCCATCTCAGGCCTCCAACACTGTCTATTTTTATCGATCTATTTTGCTCTTCCCTCTAAAAAACCCTCTCTGACTGATCTTTGAGACACACAGAACTTATGTTCTCATTTGTCAACCCTTAGCCCCTGTTGAGAGACTCTCAATGACAAAAGAGAGAAATATTTGGTTTAAAAAGAATAATAAGTTTACTATTTCATCCAGGAGATCATTTCATGCACAATTCAGCTCTATCTATCTATCTATCTATCTACCTTTCTATCTATCTAATGTATTTTTTCCTCTGTACCCATTTCTTTCCATTATGTGTCTATCACTCATCCATGTATCCATCAGCTGTTCTTAAAAATAAATTCCTTCTGGAATAATAGGGCTGTCATTCAAACATGCATTAACATATTGAGTTGAATAAAAAATAAAAATGAGATTAGTTTTCCGTACGGTTTAACAATGAGATTTAAATTTAACTATGTCTCTTTTTCATCAAATATTAAACTTAATCGACAAGGTTTTGAAGCAAATACATTATAAATCATAGACTTTAAATGTAATGTTTTATAAATATTAAACTCATGATAAAATTTCAAGAGGGCGTTTTAAATTAAGAACTACTGGCATACATAGTTTTTACAAATTCTTATGGGATTTAAAGCAAAATAAGCTAAAGACTATTGATTGATAGACCCAGAGAATATATGAAGAAAACTTTAGGGAAAAACTTTACTCACTGATATGTTGAAATGGCTAGTCAAAAAACTGACACCTAGCTTCCTCCCTCCTAAGACCACTGTTAGGAGAAAAGAGACAACAGACGACCAAGAGGAAGTCACTGCCTCGAAGATCCATAGAACACAGTGACATATAAGCAAGTAATTGCAAGTTAATTTAAAAAGAAAACTCATGAACAGGGTCATGCTAGGGACCATCCTGGTCAAAGTGTGTGCTGGGTTGGCCCAGTGGTTTATCAAAGCAGTTAACCCTATCTGGGTTTGATCTCAAAATACAAATAAGGGTTTGCCAGGAAGAGAAGATAAAGGAAAATCAAGGTCCTTAAAGTTCTTTACTATGTAGAAGAACTCCTAAAACTGACGAAAATAACAAAATTGAAATGCACTTAGTGGCAAACAACTAGTACGTGTCAAAGCCAGGCCTAGCGGTCATAAACCTTAGGACTCACTCCAGGTCCAGTGCTCCCTTTTTCCACCCCGCCAAGCTGCTTTCACACAGGAGAGAGACACATGGGAATGAGTGAGACATGGTGCCCACTCCCAGGCAAGAGAGATTGCCCCAGTAAAGTTCCCATGGCACACTCTGGAGACACCCTGCTCAACCCGTACCTGGAAGTTCTCTCTGATTCTCTTCTCATTGAAGCTCTTGGCCAGGACCACCACCCCCCGCTGCAGCTGGAAGCGCAGAGCAACCTGGCCTGGGCTTCGACCGTGTTTCTTGGCGATGGCTTTCAAGACTGGGTCCTCTAAGAGGTGTGGGCTGTCCTTATCCACCCTGCAAAAAAAGGCATGAAGGAAGGAAAATATAGTGCGCACTGCCCCTTCTTCCCAAATTTCCCAGAGAATTGAGGAGTAGGCACAATAAAGTATGATTCAAAAGAGCCTGCATATTTACAGAGATTCAGTCAAAACTGCAGCAAACTGGCAAAAACTAAACTGCCCTTAACAGGTGAGGGTATAAACAACTTGTATATGTATTCATGTAACAGAACATTTCTCAAATGCATTGGAAAGAACTGCAAGCATATGCAACCATATGAATATATCTAACAGACATGTTGGGTAAAAAAAGTAAGACACAAAAGAGTAAATGAGTTCTTTCATATAAAGTTCTAAAGCAGGCAAGTCTCAACTAAGATAAAACAAAAAATCAAAAGCTAGAGGTGAAGAGGGATTGTCTAAGAAGGAACACACTAGAACTTTTTTGGAAGGTAGAAAGTTTCTATATCATAATAGGGATGTGGACTATACTGTATGCCCATTTGTGAAAATTATACAATTAAAAATTGTACTTGAAAATCACTTTATGAAATTATATTTGGGGTGAGGTTGGGATCAGGTAGACATATAGATGAAACAAGAGGGACAGAATGTTGGTGACATGGCAGCTCACTGGTGGTACACAGGAATTCACTTCTTTATGTTTGAGTTTTTCCTGAATTAAACATTAAAACTTAATTTTCAAGAGTGACTCATCATCAATAGAGTTGCTGTCTTAAGTCAACTCTTTATATTCTTATTACCACCTTGGGTCTCTACTGGATCCCAGGGTACCGTAGGCAACTAGAACAATGTCCTTGGGCTTGCAGAATGCCAGGAGTTTGCTCTGGTTGAGGTAAGGATGACATTCCACCTGCAATTTTCCAAGACCAAAAGGTATCAGAATACATGAGCCAATAACCACATGTAAATTTGAAAAGTACTTTGAAGAAATTTTTATTACGATGTTCATGTACGTACTATATTTTTTCAGATGGTCATTTTCCCCATGCACCTCCTGAAATACCTTCAAGTTCCATCAGTTTTCACATTGATACAACATTTTCTTCTTACTCTCTTTTTATTCATGTCTTAAAATGTATACAATTTCTTTCATCCAAATTGCAGTCTCTAACCACTATCTTTTACTGAAATATAATTCCCTAGAGAAATGACCAACTCCAGTTCTGAGTGGCAAAGCTATGAGTTAAGCCTAGAACAGTTCGCAGTTTAGAATGCCAAGAAGACAAGAAAGACCAAGAAGCATGTTAAAGAGCCCAGGAGAACCCTTGGAGAGGCTCCCTCTCCCTGGCCAAAATGGTGGCAATCTGGGCATTAAAAAGAATAGCAACTATAATGGATGAAAAAAACAATCTATTTGTTAAAGCCAATATAGGATTGATCCTATGTGATCAAGTCTTTAGCTCTTAGCTTCAATCTACAGGAAGTGCCACAGGGACCTGTCAAACTGTCATAGGCACCCCTTAGTGAATCCTATTGGGTGGGAATTTTTGCAAAACAAATTACCCAATTAACTTCATAAACAACCTGAAGAGGAGAAAGAAGAAATGTGAGAGAGAGCAAAAGGTGGAGGAGGAAGAGGAATAAAGGAGGTAGTGGAAGAGGAGGACAAAGTGAGGAAGAGGCCGGGGCGGTGGTGCAGCCTGTCATCCCAGCACTTTGGGAGGCTGAGGCAAGTGGGTGGCCTGAACCTGAGGGTTCAAGACCAGCCCAGGCAACATGGCAAGACCTCATCTCTACAATCAAAGATCAAAAATTAGCTGGGTGTGGTAGCGCAGGTCTGTAGTTCTGACTACTTGGAAGGTTGAGGCAGAAGGATAGCTTGAGCCCAGCAGGTCAACGCTGGGGTGGCGGTGAGTGTGCCACTGCACTCCAGCCTGGGAGACAGAGTGAGACTCCAACTCCAAAAAAAAAAAAGTGAGGAAGAGAGATTTAAGAGACATATCATCCCATTTCAATGTATGACCCTTATTTTCATCTCCATTTCAACGAATCAATGACAAAAATATAACACAATCAAGTTTGAACACTAATGATATTTAAAGATATCAAAAAATCATTGCTAAGATTTTAGGTGGCATATGATTCTGGCTATTTTTGTTTTAAAAATTCATAGATTTTTAAAAACATATGCTGAAATATTTACAGATAAAATGATATAATTCCTGCTTCAAAATCATCCAGAGGTAGGAGTGTATGTAACATGCTTGAATGTGAGATAATTACTGCATAAGTGTGTGTTGGGAGCTGGCCACGGAGGACCACTGAGCGTTAGGGATCAATGAGGGCTGTGGACCCCGAGACCACTAGGATGTGTTCGGGGGCTGTTGATCCCATTCCCTTCTACCTTTTTCTATTTGGCACACTCAGCCAAAAGGATCTCTGCTGACCTAAGCTGAAGACGCTGTGACTGTGACAGGCCTGGCTCACTCTAGAAACTCATTGTTCTTGTTTCCCATGAACTGCGGTTTCAGCTTAGGTATTAGATATAATTCAAATTCAGGTCACATTTGGAAGCCTTCAATATGGTACAAGTTTCTTTATAAGATTTAAAAGTATATTTGTAGAATTAGTATATACATATGGAGAGCTGTTTTCAGCTTTAGGTGGTATAGATGGTTATCTATAGTCACAAGAAATGGCCCAGTATGAACTTTGGACTAGGCCACATTCTTAAGAGCCCAGCGTTACTTTGGACTGGGCCATATTCTTTTGAACTGGTTTTAGCTAGCAATTAGTATAAGGTTTTCCTCTATTCATTATAGATGTTGAACTTATTTTATTCACAGAAAGTATTGTAGAATAGCTTATGGCAATGTTAGGAAATTATGATAGTTCAAGCATGATACTTTGAGATTTAACTGGAAATTTTTATAGAAGTTAAGATAGATATATAAGATTTTAGAGTAGCCATTTTGCTAAGAGAGTATAATCGATTGTTCCTGGAAACAGCCCAGTGTGATCTTTGGACTGGGCCACATTCTTTAGGAACTGGTTTGAGCTATAATTAAGAGTTTCCATAGGGTAGGTAGAATTAGCATAGAATAGAAAAGGTAATAGGATTTAAGTTAGTTGTTTTAGGCATTGTGTACGCATAAGCTTTAGAAGTTATTGATTATTAGCACATCATGATGCTAGTGGAGATTGTTGCATTATTTTTGAGGAACATTAACCAAGCATTAGGAACAGTAAGATAATTTTGGGATTGTTCTTCCTCATGCCTGAGGGGGGGGACACCCCTCACCCACCTGGCTTTATGTTCACGTGAAAGTCTTGTAATTTTGCCCGTGAAACTTTAGGATAAAAGGCTTACGGTTTGCTCCATTAAATGGCTTCTGTTCAATCTTTGATCAGTTGTCCAGTCTCTTTCTTCTTTCTAATATCTATCCCTCCAGTTTAATCACTGATGCCATCTTTCCTACCAGGGACCCCCAATCTCTACAGGGGCTAGCCCCCCACAAGTGTAGTGATGGCACATGAGAAAAGGCCATGGTCTTGTTTTTGTAGTTTGACATTTCATAATGGTGAAATGTTTTTTAAAAGTTTTAAAAGAAACAATTTTATGTTAAATATAGGAAAAAAACCACAAAACACCTAGAATCCCATCAGAACCACACAGCAACTGTAGTCATTTTACTAAGCTTAATTTTAGTCATTTTTAAAATTGTATGTAATTTTATATGTAGCATAAAGAGTGAATGGTGTTGATAAACATTAATTCTGATAAGAATAGGGAAGAATTCCTCCCTTCCTCTGTCTTCAGCTTCAGTGCCCCAAGAAGTAGACTCACAATTTGGTGCCATGGTCTTTATTTTGCACTGATTGGTTGACAAAAAGCACATGATGTGGTTCCAGCCAATGGCACAAATTTGCTGGAAAAATTCAAGGAAAATTCTTCCACCATCTTTGGAAACAGTCCCCCAAACCCACTCTTTCCCACTGAACATGAACAAGGAGACTTGTGGGAGCCAAATGCAGCTCTGAAGAGTAAGGCATAGAAAAATGCATTCATTTCAAGATACTTCTTACAGCTTCTAGCAACCAGACCCTGAGTCTTCCAAAAGTAAATCAACTTTTTAAAAACTGTAAGACCGTCTGAGTTGAGTTTTCCATTTCTTGCAACTGGAAACATACTAACTGGCAGAGTATTGTCTGATATGCTTCGTATGTGATATTACAGAAAAAGTTTTGCTTTTTGCTATTAGTTTTTTCAATATCCGAGCATAGATCACCATAAAACCATCATCAATTTAATCATTTCTCTGTTGGTTGATATTTAGCACTCTAATCAGTTGGTATTAGAAATAAATTGTGATTACACACACACAGACGTACACCCGTGGTAAATGATTTTTACATACTCTGATTTTTTACAAAGTAAAAAATAAATGTCTAAGACAAATAGCATTAATATTTGAATAGCTTTTTTGTAGAATTATCAAAATACTCTTCAAAAGGCTGTAAACTTAACAACGTCATAAAAAATGTTGGATATTTGGCAGTATTAAGTACTTCCTTACAGAACCCTTGCTTTAATTGTGATGTCTCCACTTCCTCTTCCCCATGCCCTTCCACTGTCTGGCTTCAACTCCCCCCAATCTGTAGCTGCCCTGCTTGGATTCCCACGACTTCCCTCCACTAATCCAACACCTTTTCCATCCCTACGGAAGTGGTGGCCCTTCAGCAGGACCCGCCTTCCGTCCCACTCAGGGCTTTCCAACTCCCTTTCTTCTGCCTCCTGACACCACACCCTCCTCACAGTCTCCCCGCCTGTCTGGAAACTCCTGCTCCATCTCCGTGCCAGGGCCTCTGTGCCAGACCCTTCCGTGTGGACTTCCTGCCTCTTCCTTTCATTCTATGAACTCCCCTGGGAAAGCGATCCATTCCTGTGAGTTTAGTTGCCATCCAGAGAGGAATGACTGCCAAAATCTGCCTCTCCGGCCTGGACCACCTCCTGAGTTCCACACCAAGGCTGCCACCCGCCGACTCATTCTCTCCCCTTGGCTGTCCCGAGGAACTTCACACCGCCTCTGAAGAAGGAGATCCTGCTCTTCCCGCTCTGCTCAGCCGGCTCCTTCCCTGGTAATTCCTGTCTTGGTGAAAGGAACTCTGATCTAGCAGAAACTGGGAGACACAGTTAAGAAGGAGGGTGTGAGGAGCAGAAAGTGAGAGAAGGCCCCGGTGGACTCAGGGCTCTCCTGGTTGCAGACGGGCTTGTACTTGAGCCCCGGCTCGCTCAGGATCAGTTCCAGCTGCTGGTGGTTGAAGTTGGACACCCCGATGGACCTGGTTAGACCTTCGTCTTTGCACTTCTCCAGGGCCTGGGGAGGAAGGAGAAGTATGGAGGACATTTAGTATGGTTTGTCCTTTCATGTATCCTTGGACTTGTATGAACTGGAAACATTGTTATGTGTGTTAAACATGCAAGTCTGTTTTGACACACATAACAATTATACTGAATCCAACAGTTTTATCACCTGAAAACATTATTTCCTGATGCACTTCTTTCCTATCCATATACATATCTGTCTCCTTGATTCTATGACATGCACACTCAGGACAGCAACTAGATGTCAAGGTGCTTTACAATTTCTTCTTTCCTCTCCCACCCCCTGAATGGTGCCTATTTTGCAACTCGGCATTATATATATACATACGTATATGAATATATATGTATCCACGGTTTAACAAATTATGCCATCATCAAGAGCAAAAGGAAGTTTCAGATTCTCTGCTCACAGTGGGTTTGCTGCCATCTCCTTCCTAGAATGGTAAAAAATGCATATGGGAGGGGGTCTGTAAGGGCAGGTTCCCTCTCCTCTGCAGTCCACCCTTCTGGGTCGGCATTTCCCTTCCTCTGTGCTGTGTTGATCTGTCCTGAGATGAAGCAACAACCTGATCTCACAAGCAAAATAAATGCCTACTTACAACCATAGAAGTTAAAATGAAAATGAACCTTCCAAGTCACCCTGTACAACTCCCTCAGTTCACAAAGTGACAGCACAGAGGGGCAGAAAAGTTCCAGGACAGGTGTGAGGTCAGACAATGGCTGGAGAAAAATCTCACCCCTTGTGAATCCCCATTCCATGACTCCTACTCCGCTTCACAGTGCCTCTGGGTGTCTGTACAGGTCATACCTCCCAAGTGTCACAAAGGTCCACGGTATCAAAGATGAATTTTCCATTGGCATCCCTTGGCAGCAGTTCCTCCCCAGGCTGGAATACAGAGAGAATGGAGGATAAAGATGGTGATTATCTTTAAAAATCCCCTTTCTGGTGCCAAAGGATCTTGGCCATCCTGCCTTCAGGAGGCTGTGATTATTCATCTGAATGTGGCTGTGTGTGCACATATGTGTGAGTGTGTGTGTGTGTGTGTGTGTGTGTGTGTGTGTGTGTGTGTCGGGGACTAAATAGTTAAAGCATGAAGCTGTCTACCTAGAAAAGCAGAGTCCAGATAAGAATAGTATGTGTCTTTCAAAGTACAGAAAGTGTGGGCCAAGGACAAAACTAATATGAAATGTTGGCAGAATAGTCTGAGTCTGGGTACAGACACTTCTTGATAGAGGGGAAGTTTAATGTTGAAGATTGGGGAAGTTTGAATGCCTGATTGTATTGTGCTTGTATATAAACTTTGGAACAAAGAGAAACAGGGGCACTCGGGGACTAGCCCCGGTGCCCTCCCTTTGCAGCTAAAGGAGTCTTGTATTCCTTTCATGTCTCCACTCCCTCTTTCAGGTACCCCAATAACCCCGGCTGGTCCGGACGGTGTGTGTGTGTGTGTGTGTGTGTGTGTGTGTGTGTGTGTATAAGAAAAGACATGGGGGAAAAGAAAGACCAGAATCTGAGAGACCCATCACAAAATATGTCCCCCCAATTTCCTCCACTCTCTTTCCTTCACACACCCCCAAACTCCTCCAAGAATAAGTCTTCAAATGTTGGAATTTTTTTCATTTCTTGAGGACAGGCTGGTTTGGAGGATAGCACTTACAACTATTAACCAGTGAGTTTAGCGCCAGTTGACGATAACCCAACTCAGATAGAGAGGATATCGGACGTGCTTAGAGAATGTCCACTGCGAGGAGAGGTTGGATCAGCAAAGCCCATGGCAGCCCTGCTGTGCAATATGAAACGCCCCAGGTACCTCTCTCTTCTTTGGCCTGAGAGGTGTACACGGGAGAGACCCTCCTTCTAAAGAGGTGGGGATTTCCCATTGTATCTCTGCAGATGGCAGTGAGCCAACATTCTTGAGGACCCTAACCACCAAAGGCACAGAGACAATGGCACCATCACTGAGACATGTAAAACAGTGCCCTCGGCTCTCTGAGGAAAGGCAGCGAGATCACTAAACCTGAATCTTCCTTAAAGCGGGGGGATGAGGAATAAAAGAGAATCTTGATGGTTGAGTGACTCAACTGTCAAGGACAGTCATGAATGGCTTGGAATTCTCTATGGGCCTCACTCAAAGCTACCTCTTTCAGCAAGAACCCAAAATCTGAAAGGAGAGAATGAAGAGTTAACAAAAGTGATCACACAATCTTGGGCATAACAAGAAAAACAAAGGCTGACCTTCATAGCAAATGGTTCGTGAATAACGAAGAGATCAACATAGTCCAAGCCAAGTTTCTTCAGTGACCTTTCCAGGGCTGGTCGAACCAATTCTGGTCGCATGAAAGTATGCCAAAGCTGCAGTCAGCAAAAGAAACAAACCGTGGCTTACGATTTGTCACATTTAGGGACCAAAATTAGACGCGACAGCTAACAGGTTGAAAGCGAGTGGCAAACCATTGTGGTGATCCAAAACTAAATGAAGTGGAGCTGAATTTGTGTTGCTCAGTGTAAATCAGGCTTTGGAAGCGACACTGCAAGTGGAAGGAAACCCTTGACCAGGCCCGCGTTCTCAGCCTGTCATCCCAGTACTGTGGGAGGCCGAGACAAGTGAATTGCCTGAGCTCGCAGGTTCGAGAACAGCCCGGGCAACTTGGCTAGACCTCGTCTCTACAATAAATAAAAAAAACTGAGCCGGGCATGGTATTATGCGCCTGTTGTTCGGGCTACTTGGAAGGCTGAGGCAGAAGGCTCGCCTGAGCCCAGCAGGCTGACGCTGGGGTGGCCATGAGTGTGCCGCTGCCCTCCAGCCTGGACAACCGAGTGAGACTCTAACTAAAAAAAAAGAAAAGAAAACTGTGAACAAAAATCAGATGGGGCAGGAAAAACAGCCTCGATATGTCAAGGGACAGAGGAGTCATCCTCTGAAAGGAACCAAGAAATGTCAGGACAAGGGGGCTGGAATTGCCTGTGTAATAATTTCCTAAAAACAATTCTGCTGAGAGTTCCACATTCATTTTTTTAAAAAGTTGTTTTTATTGATGAAAACACGCATAGGATTCATCTACAGAGACCTCATTTCTGTTTATATTGAAGCAGGTTTCTCCACCTAGGGAAATGTTAAACAGTTCAGAGAACTCAAAGCTGATGTGAAGAAAAAAAGTGTTTCCTCATCTGGTTCCCTCCTCTGAATAGTATTAACTTCACTTGATATGTTCTGAGAGCACCTATGGAGAATGAAAGGTGTAGACCTGTCGTGTCTGGTGAGCCCCCACAGCAGTTAAAGAGGAAAAGTCTTGTTACTTTCATGTTATGGGAATGTCTGATGCTCAGAGACCTTGACACCTTTAACACATATCAGAGAAAGCAAGGGTTTTCTATGTTTCTATAATGCGTCTCCACGATATTAGGAAATACATAAATTATTCAAATGTGTCAGTTATTTTCTTCCAAAATGAAATATCTGAACGGACAGTGGCCTCTGGCGACTGCACACACGAGACCTTCACCTTGGTGGTGTAGAAGATGTCCTCTCTCTTCACGGTCCCGTCCGCAATCTTCTCGCGAATGGCCTGTCCGACCTCCTCCTCGTTTTGATAGAAGCACGCTGCATCGATGTGACAGAAACCTACGTCAATCGCCACCCTGGTGGCCTCGCCAGCCTTGCTCTTAGGGATCTAGAAAACAGGAGTAAGAAGGGTGGATGATATGTGCCTGGCTCAGAGAGAAGCAATGTCTTTCCTCAGAGGCATTTTCCCCAGGGGTTTCTATGGGCTTCCTGCTCCATTTGAGGACGTCAACTAAACTCTACTATAATATCGAATCCACAATGAATTTTTGAAATGGGCTTCACTATGGAGCACAGAAATATCAAGTCTCATTAAATCATTCAATATCAATCAGTTGTATGGGAATAGTTAACAAGAAAATTTTTGATCCTAGAAGAAATATTCTAAGCTACTCAGTCAAAAGGAGAGGTCTACACACACACACACACAAACACACACACACACACACGTGCGCGCACGCGTGCACACATCATAGCATCTATTTTGGATGATAATTAAAAATGATACAGATCCTTGGTATCTTTCAGGTCCCCTCCCACTGTGGGAATTTTTTTGTCCTCTCAATAAATCCTGCTTTCAAAAAAAAAGAGTTCATAGTACCCATCCTTCCCAGTTTCCACCCAACTGGGTCCTTCAGCACATTCATGATTCTTTTGAATTCTTCATTCCCAGGTACTCTCATTCAACATTTATACAACAAGCATTTACTGAGTACCTCCTGTGTGCCTCCTCTTGGCCTCTAAGGTGACTAAAATCACTGTCCCGTTTTAACATGAAAAGGGTTATAGGGGGTGGCTGTCCCCTGGTCAGTGTCAGAACTTCTGGGGAAAGTCTCAGGAGAAACATTGGATCCAGGTCCAGGGAGTATCACGGTGAGAACAGTCAGAGACAGAAGCAGAGCTCCAGAGAGCTGATTGCCACTCATATGACCAGCTGGTCTGACTCAGAGCACTGCCTCATGTCACCAGCTGGCATTGCCTACGGGCAAAGTCCAGGCATTAACATATATGCGGTCAACCTCAAATGTCACACAGTGAGTGGATGGGCGACTCAGTCTGAAGTTCTGTCCTCACGTGCTTCCCAAAAAACAAACATGACAGGACAAAGAAATGCACAGCACACACCCTGGAGTGTGTTCCTTGTTTCTGCAATGACTCAAGTTAAAAGCACAGGTTAGAGTTTTAAGGAAGCTTCCACTTCACTTTTTACCTTTTGTACTTTCTGAATCTAAAGCATATGTAGGCCAGGTTCGGTGGCTCAGCCTGTAATTCCAGCAGTTTGAGAGGCCAAGGCGAGTGCATTGCCTGAGCCCGCAGGTTCGAGACCCACCCAGGCAAATTGGCAAGACCTTATCTCCACAGTAAATAAAAAATTAGCCAGGCATTGTAGTGCATGCCTGTAGTTCCAGCAACTTGGAAGGCTGAGGTGGAAGGATCGCCAGAGCCCAGGAGGTTGAGGCTGCGGTGACCGGTAGAGTGCCACTGCACTCCAGTCTGGGCGACAGAGTAAGACTCCAACTCAAAAAAATAAAAAATAAAAAAAAATAAAGCACACACATACTACTTCTCTTCTTGGAAGTGAAGGGATTATGAAGCATCTCCGTGGCACTGTTTTATCTTTAACAACAGTTGTAAAATGTGGATAGTTCCACCAAAGTTGAAGATAGTGGTTTCTGTCATGTGTAGGCAATCCCTGCAAAACAACCTCAAATTGCTCCTACCTCACTGTGACCAGAGTGTGACACTTTAAGTTTGCTGCAGTGAACTGTGTGGATAGGTGAAGAATGTATTGTTAAGAAGCATGAAGGAAATTAAAATATTCCATCCCCAAATACAGATCCTTGGTATACTGAGTATTTTAAATTAAAAACCCAGCTAGGCACGGTGACTCATGCCTGTGATCCCAGCACCTTGGGAGGTGGAGGTGAGAAAATTGCTTGAGTCCATGGGTTCGAGACCAGCCTGGGCAACATGGTGAGACCTAGTCTCTACAAAAAGATATGAATAGACACTGCTCAAAAGAAGACATACAAGCAGCCAACAGATACATGAAAAAATGTTCAGTTTCACTAGTCACCAAGGAGATGCAAATTAAAACTACACTGAGATACCACCTAACTCCGGTCAGAATGGCCATCTTTAATTCAAAAAATAACAGATGCAGGAGAGGATGTGGCAAAAAGGGAATACTTCTACACTGTTGGGGGAAGCGTAAACTAATACAGGCTCTGTGGAAAACAGTGTGGCAATTCCTAAAAGTTCTAAAAATCGACCTTCCATATGACCCCACAATCCCCCTACTAGGAATATACTTGGAAGAACTCAAATCACTTATTAAAAAAGATACCTGCACACGTATGTTTATCACAGCATTGTTCACAATAGCAAGAACATGGAACCGACCATGCTGCCCATCAAAAGAGGACTGGATAAAAACATGTGGTTCATATACCCAAAGGAATATTACACAGCCATTAAGAAGAACAAAATAATGAATTTCGCTGCAACCTGGATGGAATTAGAGTTTATAATACTGGGTGATCTTTTATAGAAACAAAGATCTGAGTACCACATATTCTCACTCATAAGTGGACCTTAAACAACTACCATAACACTATAAGAAAAGGATCGACAGTAGTGGGATTAACAGGGAGGTGGGATTAACAGTAGTTGATGTCTGCCTGGGGAAAGGGGGGCACACCTCATCAACAAGGGTACCTCCAAAATGAATATTTATATACCTAACCCTAAATTGTACCCCACAATTTTAAAATGAAATTAAATTACATTTAAAAATAAATAAATAAGATAAAACAAAAAAGTTAGCCAGGCATGATGACACATGCCTGTAGTTTCAGCTACCAGGAAGGCTGAGGCGGAAGGATGGCCTGAGCCCAGCAGGTTGTGGTTGCAGTGGCCGTGAGCGGGCCACTGCACTGTAGCCTGGGTGACAGAGTGAGACTCTGACTCAAAACAAAACAAAACAAAAAACCCATAGACATCAATGAGCACTGGAAGAGACATTTCCCCTATCTACATAAAGATATATCTGATCCACCCAGGAGGGCAATTGCTCCTGTAACCCTTCCTGTTATGTCATTATCCATTATAGGAAAAAAGACCAAGAATGCAGCTACCCAAACAGACACTTTTTAAAAATAATGGGCCAGGCACAGTGGCTCACGCCTATAATCCCAGCACTTTGGGAGGCCAAGGTGAGAGGATTGCCTGAGCTCATGGGTTGGAGACCAGCCTAGGCAACTTGACGAGACCTCATCTCTACAATAAATCAAAAAATTAGCCGGGCATGGTGACATGTGCCCACAGTTCCAGCTATTTGGAAGGCTGAGGTGGAAGGATTACCTGAGCCCTGCGGGTCGAGGCTGCGGTGGCCGTGAGCATGCCACTGCACTCCATCCTGGGCGACAGAGTAAGACTCCAAATAATAATAATAATGATAATGATTGTCTCTCCAAGGATCGCTTAAATTCCAGAGAGAACTATTTACAAGTTAATTTGTTTCCCAATTCTATCATTTGCCAATCTGATCTTTCTCCCTAGTCATCACTTACTGCCCCTCAGTGAAATTTCTCTTTTCTCCCGTCCTGTTTCACCGGGACCTAAGACCCCTTCTTCTCTACCCCTCAGACGTTGCATAAGCTTCTGCACCTCACTGGGAAGTTGAGTCTTCATTCCGAAGACTCCCATGTACACATGGCAAATAAATTTGCATACTTTTGCTACTACTCCTCAATCTGCCTCATTCCAGTGATTGTCAGTGAAACTTTAGGGAGCCAACTTGGCCCCCATAGTTTTCATGTATTCAGAAGGATCACCAAAGCCACTCTGCTCTTCTGGAAACAGCGAAGAGAACCCAGAAAACGAATCTGTCTCCAAAAGGTAAAGAATTTCTCACCCACCGGGCTCCCCATCTCCCTCTCTCTGTGGATCCCGTTGAGTGGATGGTAGAAATCATGGTCTCAGCTTTCCTCTTCTAATTCAAGATTAATGAGAGAAAAGGTTTTGTGTGACTTGTTTTAGTGCATGACAGGTGTATTTGGGGGTTTATCATATAAATATTTATATTGTTTGATCTCTTTTCTCTCAGAAATAGCCCCTTGGTGTTGCTGCTTCTCTTTATCTTTTTTTTTCTGTGTCCGTCTGCCATGAAGAGGGATACTAGAGCATAGAACACAGGCCTAGAACCCCTATAAGCCTGTTATTCAAGCAGGCTCTGCAGAATAGTCAGTTTTGCGGTTCTGACTTGACTAGTGTCTGTTAAGACAGACTTTGCTTCAAGTCCTTGAAATAAATAGTAGATGACATTTCCATCTCATCTTGGTTTACGTCCTTGAGATCTTGACTTGTGACCACATGGGATCGCCACTATACTGAGGCATGATGTCTTGGTGTCAAGCCAGATGACCACTCTGAAAAGCTGGGAGTCTGAAACACACAACATTTTGAACACCACCCTTTCTGCTCCAAATGTGTCAAGCTCTTAAGGGAGTTCTGTCTTTAAACGTTCCCATCCCTATGGGACTTTCGTCACTGTTGCTTTCTTCAGTCTATTCCTGAGAGTGAATTTTGGGGCATCATGGAAATTACCTCCTTTATGCCCTCTCCAGGAACACCTTTTGCTTATGGAGTAAAAACCTGAAAAATTGCCACCTGGGCTTTACATGACAAAACATTTTGACTGAGTCATTTTTGGAATTAAGTATACCACAGAAAATTGTGATTGTCAATAGCCAGACTATAGCTCTCTTAAATTAGCTACGATTCCTAAATTTAAAGAAAGATTTTATAGATCTCTTATTGTAAACAATTGATGGGGAAATCACATTTAAAGAAGGATACCCAATAGTGTCATGGCTAGCCTTAAAAATTCTCCTAGCCAGGCTCGGTGGCTCAGCCTGTAATCCCGCGCCTTTGGGAGGCTGAGGTGAGTGGATTGCCTGAGCCCGCGGGTTCGAAACCCGCCTGGGCAGGCGAGACCTCATCTCTACAATAAATCAAAAAATCAACCGGGCATGGTAGCCCATGCCTATAATTCTGGCTTCTTAGAAGGCTGAGGCGGAAGGATCGCTGGAGCCCAGCGGGTTGA